GAGAGAGAGAGAGAGAGAGGGGGGGGGAGTGGAGAGATTGTGTGTGGCATGTGTCGTGTAGGGGGAGGGAGGGGGGGGGAGGGAAGGAGGGAGAGAAACACAAAGAGAGAACAGAGAACAGAGAGCACAAACAACAGTCACGACAAAAAACGTGCATGCATGCATGTGCAACTAAGCAAACCCCCATGCTTGCATTAAGCTCGGCACCTTGGAGGAGAACCTCCACGAGAAACTTGTTGTGCTGCATGATCTGCGCTGCTGGTGCTTTCCCCCAGGCTGTTGTGTGGTTCTGGTAGTGCTGGGCCTGCCAGTTCTTGAACATTTCGAACATGGGCTGATGCTCGGTGATGCTTCTTAGGCGCTCCTGACATAGCCTTGGCTGCTTTGCCTGCATGTTGGACAACTCACCGAGCACACAAGTAGGCAAGATCACCAAGGGGTTCCGAAAGTCTGAGTCGTGGATCTCTCCCCTGTTTGTCATGTCGTGGATGCTGTACTGCCAGTGCTGATGCTCGTCATGCTCATGCTGCGTGTTGCACAGATCCGCCGCTTCCTGGTGGACCGCCTTCAACAAGGCTCTTGTGGCACTCTTGCCCCCTGCACCGGATCCCTTTGGGTGCTCCTCTGGTCCTGCGCTCTTGCTCTTGCCGGATCCCTTCAGCTCGCCTTTGCCCTTGCTTTGCTTACCGCCGGATCCCTTTGGGGTGTGGTGCTCCTCTGGCACGCTCTTGCCAGATCCCTTCAGCTCGCCTTTGCCCTTGCTTTGCTTACCGCCGGATCCCTGTTGTGTTGGGTGCTCCTCTGCTGGTCCTGCGCTCTTGCCGGATCCCTTCGGCTCGCCTTTGCCTTTGCTTTGCTTACCACCGGATCCTTTTGGGGTGTGCTCCTCTGGTCCCGCGCTCTTGCCGGATCCCTTCAGATCGCCTTTGCCCTGGCTTGGCTTACCGGATCCCTTGGGGTGCTCCTCTGCAGGTCCTGCGCTCTTGCCGGACCCCTTGCCTTTGCTTTGCTTACCTGATCCTTTGGGGTGTGCATGCTCCTCTGCTCCTGCGCCCTTCTCGCCTTTGTCCCCGGATCCCTTGGCGTACGTCTCAGAGTCGAAGAACCTCCTCATCGACTCCGGGTTGAGGTTGCGCAGCTCCACCTTCTGGTCCGGGCTCCCGCTTTGCTTACCGGATCCCTTTGGGTGCTCCTCTGGTCCTGTGCTCTTGCCGGATCCCTTCCACTCGCCTGTGCCCTTGCTTTGCTTGCCCGATCCCTTCAGCTTGCCTTTGCCCTCGCTGTCCTTACCGGATCCCTTTGGGGTTGTGTGCTCCTCTGGCACTGGTCCTGCGCTCTTGCTGGATCCCTTCGGCTCACCTTTGCCTTTGCTTTGCTTACCGCCGGATCCCTTTGGGGTTGGGGTTGGGTGCTCCTCTGCCTGCACGCTCTTGCCGGATCCCTCGCCTTTGCCCTTGCTTTGCTTACCGGATCCCTTGTTGGGGCTGGGTTGCTCCTCTGCTCCTGCAGCACTCTTGCCGGATCCCTTCAGCTCGCCCTTGCTTTGCTTACCGGATCCCTTGTTGGGGTTGGGTGGCTCCTCTGCGCTCTTGCCGGATCCCTTCAGCTCGCCCTGGCTTTGCTTACCGGATCCCTTGGGGTTGGGTCGCTCCTCTGCCCACGCGCTCTTGCCGGATCCCTTCGGATCGCCCTTGCTTTGCTTACCCGCTCCCTTGGGGTTGGGTTGCTCGGCCTCTGCTCCTGCAGCGCTCTTGCCGCATCCCTTCGGCTCGGCCTGGCGTGCCTTCTTAGACTCTGCGGCGCCCTTAGCAGGAGCACCCGGCCCACGTTTGGGTGCCATGGCTCCGGCCCCACCCGCCTCAGGTCGGAAAACTTCGGCTCGAGAGGCCATTCCCAAAGGCACGCATATAGGCACGCAACAGGCACGCAAAAGGCACGCTCCCAAACCCAACCCCCCGTGGTCGGGAAATTCCGGTCCTGGGGCCAATTCCAAAAGGCACGCAAAGGCACGCTTTTGGGCCCCATATAAGGACGCTGGCACGAAAAGGCACGAAAAGGCACGGTCTCCCCGGAACCCGGCCCGCCCCGCCCCGCACCGCCCCGCCCCCCCCCCGGCCCGCCCCGTCCCACCCAGCGCTCGTGCCATGCCGTTTGGTGCCTCCATGCCCCCCAATTGGCCCCAGCACCCCCCCTACACAGCCCATATGTCTCCACATCAACACATAATCAAGGCATATACGGACACGAGTGCATGCATGCAGCACATGGGAAGCACAACACACACGCACACACATGGTGCACACATACACACACACACACACGCACACACACACACAAACACACTCGATCCTGCACGAGTTTGTCTCTTTGTCTGTCTGTCTGGTCTGTCTGATCTGTCTGTCCATCAACAAGGCAACATACTGCTGCTGCTGCAAGCATCGATCTGAGAACTTTGTGTCGCAGCTGTGTCAAAGTCAGATCCGCGCCAGCTGTATAGCTAGCTAGCTGCACATGCATGCGCATTGCCATCAGACACAGCCAGCAAACAGGATTGTTGAGAAGCCAATTGGTTTAATAGGGCCGAACATGTATGCACACACATGCGTGTCTGAACAGCCGGCGCTGCAAAGCTTCGAACTCACATGACATTGTCTAATCCGCTGTCTGAACTGCAGGAGGAATCATCGCGGAATAGCACTTCGTCATCGGGTCGGATTGTCTGCATCTCTTGCGTCTTCAAGATCCGTGCCACCTGGCTACAAGTGGATTCAAAGCACGGGCTCGATGGTGCAGCCCTAGCTGCATGCATGTGCTCGATCTACATTGTATTATAAGAGATCCTTAGAAGCCTCGGTAAGCTTGCATGCCTGCAGTCGTATATGTTGGGAAGCTGCACTTGTGCACGTGGTGGGGCAGCATGCGCATTGCATGCTGGCTGTGTCAATTATCATGGAAAGGTGTTCACAGAGCGCCCAACAGGATTCTTTTGGTGGAGTGGAGAGTGAGAGGGAGCGAGAGATGAGAGAGAGAGTGAGAAAGAGAGCTAGGCAGCTATAGGCGATCGCCAGCACAGAGCTAGAACCCCAAAACCATCGTCGCCGGATCGAGCCTCGAAGCCAAAGCCAGCAGGATAGGTCTTTGAAGCTTCGAGATCTCGACCCCCGGCCTTACTCCAGTATAAGACACGGCTATAGAGCTTTAATTGCCATGCATATTATCGCTCATGGAAAAGATCTGCATATATGAGACCCCGACACACTTGGACTCGCCTTTGGCATTCCTCCAACGGACGACTGTTTGGATCTTCAGGAAGGATCGCACTCGTCGTAGATGGCACCTGCCAGGGATCGGACGTACACAAAGGTGGGATCTGCTGTCGGGGGTTCGTGTCCAGCCTGCGCTCTTTGTGCAGCGTCCTCCGGAGCTGTCGAAGACCCGCCCAGTTTCCCACCAACGTCACCTGAGATAAGACAACTTGATTTGAAAAATCGCACACTGCTGCTCCTCTAATATATTTGCCGGCCTGGGGGCCGCCTTGGGAGTCGCCGACCCGTAGCACCCCAGGTGTATCGTGACTTTCATGAACTTCATCTTCCGCAGCAGCTTCTCAGCTGCAGACACACGATGACCCACAACAGCTGTTACGATTCGAATGCACTGCATGCAGCATTAACTTGACCAAAGCTCCCGGAGAGGCACATATCGCCAAAGCAACGTTGAGCTCGGGTTCTCTATCACAAAGTTGACATTCTTGGCCATGGCGTATCGTATCCTTAGATGAGGATTTCAAGTTGTGGATCGGTTCTTCATTCGGTCTTCCACTGCTACTTAAAGTATGATGCTGCTTAGGAGCAAGTAGCACATCCGGCGGCAGAGCCGGTTGCCAGCAGCGCATTTAATGCCCACTCCTGCCGGCCCAAGGATGGAACATTGCTACAACTGCCGGCAAGCTGCTCCTTTTGGTCGCAGCCACGATCTCTTCGATGACCCACGGGACCTTGGAAGCAGGGCATCATGTCGATGTGTTGTGTGTGTGTGTGTTTAGGTGTCTGTATACACACACTCACACACACACAAATATATATATATATAGACACATATGTATGTATGTATATGTATGTATGTATGTATGTATGTATGTATATATATATATATGTGTGTGTGTGAGTTATGTACTATTATGTCATGTGCTGCTACATGCATGCGTGTGCCGAGCTAGGTGCATGTAGCGCTATGTACATACATGCGTGCATGCACGGTGCAATCCCTATACTCTTGTTACTCCGGGTTGGAGTGTATGGGAAAATGTGCATATACATATCTATGTATGTATGTATGTATGTATGTATGTATGTATGTATGTATGTATGTATTTATGTATGTATGTATGTATGTATGTATGTATGTATGTATGTATAGCTCTTCTGTATGTGTGTATATATGCAGATCCATATGAGGATTAAGAGTTGCACATGCCGCTATGGAGCTACTGTTGTATATATAATATTAATACTAATATCAATAATAATATGATAGGATATATAAATAAATAAATAAAACATATACATATATATATATATATACATATGTATGTGTATATATAGATATATATGGATGTGTCGCAATTCGCATGTATATGGATGTGTCAAGATTCGCATGCGCCTCATGCCATGTGCCTTGCCAGTGCCGCGGTTTCGTGGTGCAGCCTAGAATGCATTCACAACTCATGACAATCGCGACCCATGTGTGCACCCCATGGCGCGGCAAGAACATGTTTTCAAGCCGAGTCCGGATGCATGATCAGTCGTCGTCGTCTGTCGTTCTTCGTCTTAAATTCCCAGATCGCTCAACCAATGCCATGCAAGGCGGGCCACTCTGCAAACTTGTGCTCCCAGTGCTTCTTGCTAGTGATCGGCGTGATCATGAACACGTCATCATCGTCTCATATCCCAGATTGTGCCCCCGTGACTGATGCCTGTGCTTCTGACGATGATGATGCTGCTCCTCTGACCTGTGGCCTGCGGCCTGCAGCAGAGCTAGATGAGGCTTGCTCGCCGGATGCGGCGGATCGCATCCTAGCTTCATCTTAAATCAGACGGCAGCAGCCGGTACAAGCTTACATGTGTGTTCAGTGAACGTTGGTGTCGGGATGCTGCGATAGCGTTGCGTACAGCATTGTAAGTGCAATAGCGTGGCGTACAGCACATAATGATCCATGCGGAGCTCTACAGTACCCTAAAACCCTAAACCCTAAAACCCTAAAACCCTAAAACCCTAAACCCTAAACCTCTAAACCCTAAAACCCTAAAGGCTGCTGCTGCTGCTATAGCGCATGTGTAGGGCCTTTAAAGGATTCCTTGCCATTGATTTCAGCAACTGATGTCCTTTCGGGTTCCCGGTTGCTTCGATCTAGATTCCAGGATTTCAATGGTTGCATGTGAACACACTATCTCTCGGAACCTTGTGGTGCATTACTGCCCTGCACAAACTCGACCCAATTGTTGGACTTCAGGGGTGCGCACATGCTCTTCAGTCTTGTAGCATTAATTGATTTAAATTGTGCCGGGCCACATATTGACGGCAAACACATGCTATAGGGGTTTCGAAGCCGGGCTATTGGGGAAATGGGTGTCTGTAAGGTTTACATATACCATATCGGGGATGAACTGATACAACAGCGACGGTGTCGGGCTGCTAGTTTTAGTTATGTATGCTTCGGGGAAGTATATGAATGCATAGAAGATCATCGACAACGTCAGATTTTGAGGTCCTATCTTGGATTTGGGTTGTTCAAACTGAAGGTGCTAGAGGCAGCCAAAACCACCACGGTTTCGATATGCTGCGGTCTATGTGATCAATTCACTGCAGCCAGCTCGGGCCTATATACACAATAATTCCGACTCGAAGGCCATTAACATAAACCATTGAAAGCTTCGATCCTACAGTAATTGAACCCTAGAGGATCCTAGCTAAACCCGAAGCCCGGGACCTTGAAACCGCAAACCCGACAGGTATGGCCAAGAAACTTGTAGAGGTATAATTCCATACTCGTGGTCCGGACAAGGTTTGCACCCCTAAAGCAATCACCCAAAAAACAGGACACGTCAGGCCGCGACACCACTAAAAGCCCAAAGCCCTTCCAAGAACCGACACCCCCCTCCATAGCCCCACAAAAGTAGGGATAGCACGAGATGTGAGGCCTGACTGGTACATGCATGCGCATGCATGCAAAACATAAACACACACAAAAGCTCCGACCTATAACCCAGGGAACTATACCCAATCCATAAACCCAAACCCGCGTGTAGCTCTACTCAACTGTTCTCCAAACTTATATCCTGATGCAATGCAGACTGATCTGAGGTTGCTGCATGAATATCCATGATGCACAGGGAATGGCGAAGAAGACGAGGCCGTTTGCCATCGTGTGTCGCACCTTGGATAGTGTTTCGGTGTTCGGTTTTTTGCTTTGGCTGCCTTAAGTCCTTAATGTTTCGAAGCTGAGCGTCCATATTCAATGCCAGCAGAAAACCGAAGCCACTGCAGAGATCCATTTTCGAAGACTCCATCACCTCGGATAAGTGTGTGTGTGTATATATATATATATATATTGTGACACATACTTGGTTCGACCAATCAACTGCAGCGTGTATTCTTAATGCCGAAACGACGCATCGAAAGTCCTCGTCTGCAGGCCCAATGATTTAGCAGCAGCCGCCAGAGTTCCACTGCCTCACAAGTTCGGCTGCATGGGTATACCTAGTTGAAAGGGTTTTTTTGGGTTGCGTCACAGGCTAATCTACTTTGCAGGCCAGGGGCCGGCAAAAAACTCCACGAGGTGGACGGGGTTGTCTAGATCCAATGGCAAGCCTGCGTGCAGGTTGCTGCCATCTGTTCCGACTGGCATCCTCGCAGCGTGGCTGTGATGCAGCTGGGTATCTGGCTCGCATTCAGGCTCGTGAGGATGTAGGCCAGCACGGAGTACCGCATACTTGCCGAATTGAAGCGATCACAAGAAGCTGGATGCTGCAGTGTCATATTTTTATGAACCCAGAAAGCTTAAGATTGCCTGACGGGAAGCTTATAAGATTGCCTGAACTATCGCGACCGCACATGCATGCATGCACTCTCATGCACACATCTGATGCATCTAGCTTGCGTCGAGACAAACGCTTGATGCACACATGCATGGCCACAAGCTTTAAGTCGGGATGCAACCCGATCGGCACCTGCTTCAAAAGATCACGAGTCGCTCACTGTTTTGCCAACCCCCGGCAGCTGTTTGATCCGTTTGGTTTGAAATGCATCGCAGTCGTTCGTGACCGGAACATATGACAGCACACGGGGGGCTTCGGATCCAGTCGTGTTTGCAGTCTTAAGCAGGAATGAAGACGGACTGTATTGATGCATGTAAAGCCTGCCCTGCATGCAACTGTCATGTCTCATCTAAATGTAGCGGCGCTTCTTCTGCTCCTTCAGCGGAATGGTGGAGAGGACAGTCTTGCGCTCCTCCGACGTCCACCACCTTAGGATGATATAACGGCACTCGAGGATCGCAGGAATGACAGCACACGTGCTCGAGTATTGTAATCGACATGGCACCGCTCCCTCACGTCCTTGAACTTGAGGTCGGGCTCGGCCTCGAAAAGCCTTATTTCCGAAATCACACCCAGACTGCAAATCCACGAAACGAATTGAAGCGACATGGTGTAAGTACTATAGCGGCTGGGTGGCTGTTCCTTGAACGACTCAAAAGCGGCTGTGTAGGGGGTTACGGTTCCATCTGGCCTGGCCTTTGCTTTAGCCTTGGGTTTCTTGTTGGCGCTCTTTGCTTTGGCTTTGGCCTTGGCCTTGGCTTTGCTTTTTGGTTTGGGCTTTGCGGGGGCTTGGTACTCCACCGGCTGCTTTCCGGCCAGCACCAGCCTCTGGGCATGGGGATTGATCGGCCGGGTCGAAAGATGCGGCTTGCCAGGAAATGGATACACCGGTTCCTTAGACTGGCTCTCTCTCCCTGCATGTGTCTCTCACTCCACTTTCTCACTCCCTCTCTAGCTTCCCATGCAAGCGTAACAAACATGTTTAAAGCTGACAAGACTCCGGCTCCTTGGTGACTCGAGTCTTGTCTTTTGCTGCCTGATGATGCATGTACCCAGCATTCGAACCTTCATTTCTAAAGCTGTAGCTTAAAGTATATACACAGCATATAGATGTACATGTGCATATATGGATCACTGGATTCGGTGGCACTTGCCTCCTTCGCCTCCTCCATGTCGCGGTTGACCAAATCATCATCCTGCTCGGCCTCGCCCGCGTGCATGATGCAAGGTGAAAATGTTTTGTTTGCATCGACAGTGTGTCTTGTCGACCCTCCTCGTCCAGGTCGATGCCCATGGCCTCGACGAAGCCACCGAAGATCTCGTCGTCCGTTGGTTCCCGGAAATCCTTAATACTCTTACTCTTACTATACGACGACAACGACTACGACGAGGACCACGACGACTACTACTTTGTGCCGCCGCCTTCTAACACTAGAAGCTTCTGATATCCTGCCTTGGCCGGGCCGTCACCTCCAGCATCATCCTTCACCTGCTCGAAAATGCAGATCGACCGAATTCTTGCTAGCTCAAAGTCTATAACTTATTGATGACCTGATCATCCGGATGCTCGCCCTCATCGATCGGCCAGCCCCTTAGATGATGCAATACGTGTAGTCGCACATAACAATAAAAAATTTCCGAGTAGCTGTTCCGGCTGCTCGTCATCACCGATCCACTCGGCCTCATCGACCCACCAGTCCCTTAGATGATGCCATATGTGTCGTCGCACATAACAATAAAAAAAATTCCGAGTAGCTGTTCCGGCTGCTCGTCATCATCGATCGGCCAGCCCCTTAGATGATGCAATATGTGTCGTCGCACAAGACAATAACAAAATTTCCGAGTAGCTGTTCCGGCTCGTCGTCATCATCGATCGACCAGACCCTTAGATGATGCCATATATGTGTCCTCGCACGTAACAATAACAGAATTTCCGAGTAGCTCTTCCGCCGGATGCTCATCGATCGCCCAGCCCCTTAGATGATGCAACATGTCAATATGTGTCGTCGCACTAAAAACAACAATATTTCCGAGTAGCTGTTCCGGATGCTCGTTCTCATCGATCGGCTCGCTCTTAACAACAACAGGATTTCCGAGTAGCTGCTGCGGCTGGGTCCGGGAATTTTTCGTAGCCTTGGGCTGTGCTATTTGCTGGTCATAAATCGGAAACCCAATGCAATTCATTATGCTGTCTGGCTGCTGGAACCTCCAACGGGAGCCCATTGTCATCACGCCAGGAAATTTTGCGATGCAAAACTGGCTTCACAGCAGCCTGACCCTCCCAATTCTCCCAAGCGTCATGATCGGCAGGGGGCGGCTCATCATTCTGGCCACACTTCATTTTATCCTTAATTCGGCAATTTGATCTGGCACCAATCGCTATATGCATCTGAGAGCTTGACATGCTGCATTGCTGTCTGGCAGCTGGCTCATCGGAAATGCCCAAGAAGCGGCGCCAGGCACAGCTCGAGGCTTTCTTACCCTCACCTTCAGGCCAAGGCACCACAGACTCCTCGAGCCACCAGCGATCCTGGGCCCCCGTGTCATCCCAAGATTCACCTGATCCATGCGTGCGTGCAACCCAGACATCAGATTAAGTATGTGCGGATTTTTCAGGGATCGCCACATGCAAAACCTGCCTGGATAGTGCGGTGCCTCGTCCCCGCACTCCTTGAGAATCGAGCACATACTCACGTGTGACTTCCAACACATGTAAGCAAATTGTGGAAAATATATGTGCATATGTGAACATGAAAGCCCACCTGTTCCCCAGACATCCATGAGTCAAGCTGGAACTGCAAAGCAAGCCTGACACAACTAGCCTCCTGCTCATCAGCATCCTTCCAATCGCCCCAGATCCGGGTGGCCCCATCAGCCCCATCGTCCGAGGTTGCCGTCGACTCCATCGACGCAGCCTGCATCCATGGATCATGTGGGCCAAGTGGGAAAAAAAGACTTTATGATATGTCTGGATGTACTCATGATCGACCTGCTTCAGGGGTCTCGAGTCTTAGCGTCTATATGCTTCCAATATATTATAGGCTTAGACGAGAAGCCATTTCTCGTATTAAAGGGCTTATAAGACTCGGCTTGCAATACAGGTTTCTTGAATTCATTGGTTTCCGAATCTGACCTGTTCCGATCTCAATATGGCATAGCTGTCATTGTCGGTTGTAGTCCTGAACTTATAAAACGATCACGGGAGCTAGCGAGCTCCTAGGGAGCAATCAGCCAAAAATACTTGGACGCTATAGATGTAGCGTTTCCAAAAAAGCTGCACAGTGACAGAGAGAGAGAGAGAGAGAGAGAGATAGAGATTCGAAGCGAGATACGAAAAAACCAGGACCTATCAAGCACGAACTTCGTTGTGACACTCGCGTGCATTTTAGGATATATAGGAAGAATACAGCCGCGTGTCTATATAGATTAATAATGGTATATGCCACCCCAATGGGTGCATGCTCTGGGCCTTGGGCTTCAGTGCACTTTTGCGATGAAGTCTGACCTGATACATACAGCTGGACTGGCGTAACAGACGTGCAATTCTTGAAGTAGGCATGGATATATTGCTATCGAGTGGCAGGAGGTGCAGCCAGCACCTCGTCATTTTCCTGCAGCCTGGGAGGGATGTGTAGGCATGTTCGTCCTATACATGTATACACGTGTCGCTGTTCGTCCTTCCATTCGTACGGCTGCGTGTCCCCGTCATCCATGGCTGCAAAGGCTTGTTTGCCACGTGGTGGCACCAACGAGCTTTTAACAGATCGCTTGCAAAGATGCTGTATCGTCTTGCCCTGTTTCTTCAACCACTCTGCTCGTGTGAGCCCGTCGGTTGGAGACAGTGGAACCTCGATTCTGTAGTGGTCGAGTAGACGTTCCAACGCAAGCTTGACCGCTGTTTTGGTAAAGTACCGGGGCTCATGAACGGCGCCACACCATGCAAAGGCTTGGCGGCTACACAAGTATTTGAGGGAACCCTTAGGAGCTATAGAGCCTGTCAGTCGAACCCTCTCGCCCCCGTCAGGGCGCACGCAAGTTAAGTGCAGCTGCGCCGCTATGTGCTTCTGCCCGATGTCTTCGGACATTTGGCCAGACAGCTGCAGCATCATGATGTGCGAACGACATATCGGTCAGCACATGTGGCATGCCGATATATATATATATGCTGCCATACCAATTCCCTATCAATTGCTAGTGGATTCCAATTGATTCTGTTCAAAAGCATCACGAGCATTGAAGCATCCAGAGCAAAAGCCGCGTGAAAATCAACAAAAGTCGCGCAGAAAGTTGCATCATGAGACCGAAAATCAGGAAGCAGAAACGGGACGTCCAAAAGACATCGTTATAAGGACGCTTAATTTATAAGGCCGCTCAGCCATATAAGGCCGCTCGACCCGTGCTGGTAGGCGATGTCGACGATACCAGTGAG